CAAAGATAGATCTAAAGGTTCGGGGGTTGGTTATGCATAGGGTAGGTATTTCACATCCTAAACATCTGTAGTACTCTACAGGAACCTCTTGTTAATATTTGTGTTTGCTAAAGTTTGCTTGCTAAAGGAAATGTGCTAAGGGTAAATATATAAAGGTTGAAACAAAGGAAAAAAGAAAAGGTTGCTCGCCAAGGATCGGGGCCTTGTGCCTACGTATTCTCAAAAGGGACTTGAGAAATCAGAGCGTTCGTAGTTCGTGGAACTACGAGTTGCTAGGTTCTAATAACCAAGAACAACTAAGACAGGTAAAGAACAGACAAGGGACGTGCATAATGACGATAAGTCAACACATAATCCCTTCCCTTAGGTCACAGGGATCAAAAGAAATGCAACAGATACACGGAAAAGCATCGTAGTAAAACAGAGAGAAAAATACACGGCAAAGCATCGCGTAACAGATTAATTATGGAAAGGCGTCAATATTAAATCAGAGAAACAGGCTAAAGCATAGAATCAGACAAATTATAAAATAGAATCGGACAACAAACAAAATTATTAATCAATTTAAATATAAATATTTAACAAGATTAACTAATAATTTAATTAATCAAATTAAATAAAAATATTTAAATTAATTAATATTTACAAAAATATATTTTTTGCGTTTTTCAAATATTACAAAACTTAATGGAAATAATAAAAACCAAAATATTAATATATTTATTGGTATTTTAAAGATTTGATAAAATGATTAAACTAAAAAAAGATGACAATATATAAAAAGAATTAAAAATTGTTTTTTGGTTTTTTTTTTTTCAAAATCAAATAAGTATTTTAGTAGCACACCATTATGTACACATCACTATATAAAACATGTTGCTACATATTATGCAATGCAAAGTAGTATACACTAACACACAACTAAACCCACATCAAATTATTAGCACATATTGCAACTTAGTCTACAGTGCACTTAAAATATAGTAACAGTAACCATAAATAAATAAAAATAAAAGTGACACCCCTATCTAATTTATTCTAATACGCTCTCTGTTGAAATAAATTAATGAACATAAACAAAACCAAAAATAAGATTAAAAAAAAAACAAGATTATAAGTTCATTTTCAATTTTTTTTAAACAAACAAAAGGCTAGCCATGGATTAACTTTTCTTTTTTTTTTTAAACTATATACTAAAAATCATAAACATAAAATGAAAAATAGATACTCACAGTAAAGCGAAAAAACGAGTTTCCTTCTCATCTTCACTGGCCTTCACGGGTGACTTGTTTCTCTTCTTCTCCTTCTCGTAACGGCGGCTCGGTGGTGATGGTCGTGTACGGTGCAACTAAAATGGAAGGGTACAGCCGACGGTGGGTTTTGGTTTATGGAGGACGGCTGTCGTCGGTTTTCCGATGAAAGTTTGACGGAGTAAAAAGGGTGTTTTAGAGTTTATGTTGTTGTTTCTTTTTAAAAAAATGAAGAAGATGGAGGGATTATCTAGCAATGTAGTATGGTTTCTTTCAGAAAAATAATGAGAGGGTGAAGTACATGTAGCAGGTTCTTGTTTTAAATGGCTCTTCTTATTTATTTATGTAGGAAAGAGAATATCATGAAAGAATGTGTATTTTATGAGGGGAAGAAAAATCATGCGCATGAATATTGGAAAGGAAGGTTTGAGTTGTGGTGTTTAATGGTGTGTTGTGTTTTTTTTTAAAAAAAGAAGTTATTGTAAAGGTGGAGAAGTTATAGTGTGAAGTTACATGGAAGTGGTTTTTGGATGGTTTCTTGAAGATAATATTGATGGTTAGTTTGTAACAGAGGGAGATTATGTGTGTGATGGGCGTATGAAGGGAATGATGATGGTAGTATATGGAGTAGTCTTTCTAGCCTCTTTTTTTTTCCATATTTTGTGGGATTTTGAGGTCTAGTAGTAGTAGCTTTTGTGTATGGGAAAGTAGTGTCACTTATGTACTATATTACCAAAATCTTGAACAAAATCTATTGGAAATGTATACTATCAAATTATAGACTCCTAAAAACTTATCTACAAATTAAAAAAATAAAATTAAAATTGAGACTAAAGTTAAGTATAAAATAGTATTAACTATTTAAAATAACAAACTAAATAAAATATGATTAGTTAAAAATGTATTAATTAAAAGTAGAGATAAAAATGGTAAAAAAAAAAAATGAATAATTGGACCAGTATCGAAGTACTCGAAAAAATAAAATGAATACACCAAAATAATCAGTAAAAGTATATAATTCGGAAAAAAACAGCGTTTTGTCAAATTTTGAAATAAATTTTACCCGCTAAAACGGCTTAAACTGTCCAAAAAGTTTATTTTAGCCGATAAATTGGGTATTATGAAAAATGTAAGAGATGATAAACTATACCGATGATGCAAAAAGATGCGGGATCTTAGAGTCAAAAATTAGGATGCAACAATGACTTCGACTCATCTGATGTTCTTGTGGTTTCAAGTGGCGACTCGAGGAAATAGTGGATTATGGATTCATGTTGCACTTGGCACATGACTCTAAACAGAGAATTGTTCGAGGAGCTATGTGATCAAGATGGTGGATCTGTGCTGCTGGGAAACAACAAATCTTGCAAAATTGCAGGTATTTGATCTGTGAGATTCAAGCTCTGTGATAAGTCAATAAGGTTATTGACTGAAGTCAGGTATGTACCTGACTTGAAGAAAAATTTGATTTCTCTTGGTGAATTCAACAGAAAAGAATACGTTTTTCAAGGAGAGAAAAGTATCCTAAGAGTCATGAAGGGGTCGAAGGAAGTCTTGAGAGGCGTGAAGAAACGAGGCTTGTATACCCTTGAGGCTGAGATTGAGGTATTTCTCTAATTGCTCTATCAAAGATGCCAAAGCCAATTTTACTCCAAGCTATGTGTGGAGGAGTATTTTGGGCGCGAAGGAGTTGGTGCTGGATGGGTCCATTTGAAGGATTGGGGACATATCTAGTGTAAGTATTTAGAAAGATAACTGGGTTCCTGGTAACTCTGGTTTCAAAATCAATAGTGTGCCTAGATTTCTAAACTCTGAGGCGTTGGTTTATGAGCTCATCGATCATGGCTTGTTTCGGCGGAACATGGAATCTCTTGAGGTCTGTTTTCATCTGTGGGAGGTGATTCTCATTTGAATTTGGGAAAAGGATACAAATTATTCTGTTATGTCTACTTATCACATGATTATAGATGCCAACAAATATGATATTACAGGACCTTCGAGGCCAGTGTCTGAGGCTTTGTGGAAGGTTTTATAGAAGGCTCTAGTTCATATGCGTATCCAAAACTTCTTATGGGGATTTTGTAGGAATATTCTCCCTCACAAAGCTAACCTAATCAAAAAAGGTATTCAAATTGATCCCGCTTGCCCTTTTTGTCTTGATTGTACTGAGACGTTAGTTCATGTGTTTTTGAATTGCCCCTTTGCCAAAAATGTCTGGTTTTCTTCTCCTCTTGGTTTGCATATTGAGTCAGAAAATGACCCTTTGGTTTGGTTGAAGAAATGCCTTAAGTGAAATGACCCTTATGGTGTACAACTTTTCTGCACCCTTTTGTGGAATATGTGGAAAACGAGAAACAACTGCGTGTTTAATTAAAAACATGCTAGAATCGAGAATGTGATTTCAAAATCTCAGCTGCAAATTAATGAGTTTAACAAGGCTATTCCGCTACTTTGTCAAAAGGAGCTGGTCGAACCTGAAGATGAGAGCCTGGTTGTAGCGAGTCTGGTCCAAGTAGATGCCAAATGCTTTAACGAGGGCCATGTGGTTCTAGGGTGTGTCATCAAGAATCATGAGAGCAAGGTTATCCTTTCTGCGTGCAAGAGGATTCAATGTGTTGTTGTTCCTAGTGTGTTTGAGGTGTTTACTATTAGTTGGGGGCTTTAACTTGTGCAAAACCTGAAGCTCAATCAATTCATTGTTCAATTGGATACGCTTGGCGTGGTGGATTACATTAATCTCATTGATTTCTCTGCGGTCCTTGAACCAATTATGATAGATTGTCTTAAAATTATTAGGAGTTGTAAGGTTATTTCTATTATGTTCATCAAAAGATATTGTAATATTGATGCACACCATATGGTTGATGTTGGTAGAATTGTTGGGTGCAGGATTTGGGTTGATCATTTTCCCAAGGAAAACTTTGATTATGTTTCAGTTCTTGTTTCTTGTGCTTAACAAAATGGAGTTTTCATATTTTTTTTTATCATATTCAAGTATATTATTTTACATGTCTCAAATTATAAATCATTTAAAAAAATATTTATCTTAAATTATAAGTTAATTTACAGTTTTAACAAAATATGAATATTTTTTTTCTAACATATCTCTCTCCTAACAACTTTGACAAAAATATTATGATGAAAATATAAGAGTTTAATTGATATGCATTAATATTGTAAAATAATTTTACATATTGATCAATCTACTATGTCAAATTATTAATTTAAAATTTACAGTTTGAAGTGACAGAATACATGATTGTGATTGATTGATAGTATAAAATTGTTTTACACAATTAGTGCATATCCCGTTTTCTCAAATATAATTAATTCAAAAATCAATTTTTGTAAAATAAATAACAATAGTAAATAAATTTAATATGAGTATCAAACTTTGGTAATTAATTATCATAAGTTTTGATCGAGGAATATTCTATCTATAGCAGAAATGCATCCCAATCCCACCAATACGTTTTTGGTGACAAATTACAAACAGAGCATCTGCCAACCAAACCAAGTGGCGTGGTCTCTCTAAGTCCAACTCTGCTCTGCGGCCTAACACGCCCCAATCCCCATTCTCTTCAATCTCAAACCCTAATTTACCAATTTACCTTTCAATTTATTCACTGTATATACACATTTTTCTTCGTCTTCACCTTCCTCGGTTGCATCGCTTATTCAATTTCATCACCAAAAAAAGTTACAGCTCGTTTTGAATTTGCGGAGTGTTATGATTTTACTGTTCTAGCAATGGCTTTCGAATCATCGGTCTTGGGTCACCATGTCTTCAGTTCGGGTTTCAAATTGTCTTACCCCGTGCATGAGAATCGCACAAAGAGAATCCCAATGAAGGTTTTGGGTACAAACAGTAGATACTTATTTCCTATTGTGTCGAATTGTGTTGGTCCTTTCAGTTCTACAAGCTTTAAGAGTTCAAGTTATGTAAACAATTTCAAGCTAGTTGGTGGAACTAGCTTGAAGATGAGGTGTCTTGGTAGTGATAGTGATTGTTTGCGAGAGAAAAATGTTCAGGTTGATTCCAATTTTAATGCTAATTTGAAGTTTATAGATGAGTTTTTGGTGAAGAGAGGGATTGTTTTGGCGGCTACTGTTTGTGGGGTGTTGGTGTTTGGATGTCCGCAAGTTTTCGCTGCGGAAGGTGTGGTGAAAGCTGGATATGGTGTTATTGGGAAGAGCATACTTTTGCTTGAGAGTACTTGGCCAACTGTTTTGCAAGTTCTTCGTTTGTTTAAGGAGCAAGGGTTGTTGTTGGCTTTGCTTTTAGGTCTTTCCGCGTTTTTCTCTCTGGCGGAAACATCAATTACTACACTTTGGCCTTGGAAGGTATCATGATAATTTTTTCTTTTTATGAGTGACTATTTTCATATGTAAGTTCTATAAAAGTAGGGGCTATGTTTAGAAAAATAGGAACTTGTTCTTTTTAAAACCCTATTGTGGCATTGAATATAGTGTAGTTGGTAAAAGGATTGTTGTCAGGGCTGCATTGAGTTTTGGAGGTGAGTTTTGTGGAAATAGGATCATAGTTCATTATGATTTGGTACATTGCTGACAGTGAATTTGACACTGACTTCGTTCAAAAGACTAAACATCAATTCCTATCAATGGGGATGTAAGACTCAATCCTAAACAATTAGGAAAATCAGGAAACAAATTATAAACATGACTAATTAGAAAACTAATCTAAGAGACAATCTAAAATACTTAAAAACTTAATGTTATTGGGACGGGACATTAAATATAGCTATGGCCCATATTTTTAATACAACACTATCTGACATAGTTTGCGTTGTATACATATGTTTGTGCCATTTTCTTGCTTTAGTAACTTGGATCATGTCCACACTGAAAGACGAAACATCATAATTTGGTTGTAAAGTTGTGACTGGAGAATCACCAATTTGTAAAATCGTGCTCCTTACAGTTAAGCTTGCAGCAACTTGCCTATTTGTTGGCAAAAAAATTAAATTTCTCTGATTGAAGCATCAATGCCTATAGTAGTGCATTTCATAAGTTTTTTTTTTTTTATTGTTCCTTCGATATGTATGCATTTCTGTACGTTAGATATGCAATTCCCTTTGCTTAGTATGGTTGAGTTTATGTTTAAAGCTTTGATTTCTGATTACTGTTGTTGGAAATTTTTAAGGTTCGTGAGTTGGCTGAAAAAGAGACTGAAAATGGCGTCTTCAGACTACTCCGAAGTGATGTTACTCGATTCCTAACGACCATACTTATCGGCACAACGTATTGTTCTTTATTTGGTCTTTTAATTAAAGAATATCATTTTCTTCAACTTGATTATAGTAGTTTCTCATGTCAATAAGTTGCGTGCAGTGTGGTAAATATTGCAGCGACTGCTCTGGTCACAGAAGCTGCAACTGCAGTATTTGGTGAAGCTGGTGTTAGTGCAGCAACAGGAGTGATGACTGTATGTTTTCTTTTTCTTGCTTGGATATTAATAACAAGACATCAAAACATGCTTAAATGATTGGTTCATAGATTTGATCATCCAAAACTCAGATTCACTAGGCAACTTGATTGTTATTCATTTCAAACCTTGAATCTTTCAGTATATCAACATGCTGACCGTTAAACTTGCAAACTCCTGATGTGACGGGAACCAGAATTTGACATATAAAGCTTGCTAGCTTTATCACCAATTTGTGAAAAAGGTGCCCGAGCTAATCTTTGAGTGGATAGGAAAAACGGGGTTGATATAATCCGTTATTTGAATTTATACATTTAAAAGCTATCCACATATCAGCAGTTTAGGCACCATTTTAGGATGCAGGATATTCCTCAAGTTAAGTATCCTGTTTTAAATTTTATTTAGTTTTAATTTTTTTTTATAGTAATTAATTTAAATTATCTTTTCAAACAGAATGTTTGCATCAGATTGATCACAAAACATTACCCTGAGGGTTTCTTTTTGACTCATAGACTTTTTATCCGCTACCTCTTATATGATCTGTATGTCTCCAAAAGTTTCATTGCTAGTACCGCTCATCTGAACTTGGTTCGGTGAATGGAAGCTACAAATTCTCTGGGCTATAAACGGAGCCTGTTTGTTTATCATTTTATTTCTCATGGATGCTTCAGCATCTGTTTATTTGCTCTTTCCGATAATTAACTATTTCTGGTAAATAAACTGGGACTCCATGTATTTTAATTTCATAAGTTTGTGTTTCTTCTCACCTCTCGTAAGTATAGTATAGGTTGCAAGTTGGTATATATGTCATAGAGTTGCTTCTCATAATATCTGATTTCTCTCCTCTCTGTACTCAAACAAGGTTGCCATTTTGCTTCTCACTGAAATCACTCCAAAAAGCATTGCGGTTCACAATGCCACAGAGGTGGCTCGGTTTGTGGTAAGTTTTAAATTTATGGTGAAAATAGAAATGTGCTGATTAATTATTTTTGTTTATTTTGCACACTGTAACATTTCTACTTCAACTTCATTTAGTAACAAATATTAATTCTAATGCTCTAGGTCAGGCCAGTGGCATGGCTTTCTCTGGTACTGTATCCCGTTGGAAGGATTGTTACCTTTCTTTCAATGGGGATGCTTAAATTGCTTGGCTTAAAAGGAAGTAGGTATGCTTAAAAGATAGCTACTGATTAATCTTCACTTCTTGTAAATTTGTTCATTGTTTTTACTTATTTACGTGTGTCGTCAAATCTGATTTTTATTTGTGATGTAAATCTTAGCCCCTTCATCATAGGGATGTCATTTTTTCTCACTGCACTGTGATAACTGCATTTTCTAAGGTTGTTTTTGTTTATAAGTGTGATAAAGTGATTGATTAAATGGAGAAATGAAGTTATTTAATTGTTCACTAGAGTTTTATATGTGATAGCTGCTAGATAGTTGTTGGTAATGGTTATTGGGTTTGTAATTTGACCAAATCATGTGATACAAGGGAGTGATTTTTTTCTCTCTATTTTTGAACCTTTGTTTGAAAGAGAAAGCATTGTTTGCCACCTTTGTGTGTTAAGCTCATAGGTTAAAGAGTGGATACACAACCTTTACTATTATAGAGAGTGTTCTGATATTTGTAAGATGTTTCACCGAGTGTTGATACTGAGGCAAACATTGGAAGCACGTGAATCTTAACTGTGATGGGAAAAAATACCACTGTCAAACTAAACTGGAATCTTAACTGCATTATCTATACCTACAATATTCAATATTGTATTGGACTGAAAGTTGAGCAATAGATAGTGTATAGAAAGAGTAAGTTCACTACATAGATGAGAATTTTGATAAACAGTGTTGTCAAATAGCCACTATATATTAGTGCACTGTAGTGCAGCAAAATTTGAAGAAATCGGTGTTGTTCTGTGATACACTATTTAATAGTGTAGCAAAATTTAAACAAACCACAATTTCCTGCAATCCAGAATCGACAACACCGTGGATAAGTGATTACAAAAGACTCGATAGTATTAGAAATGAAATCGCTAGAGAGAAAATCGGGGTAAATTCTATTGTAGAAAAGGTAGCAGTTTCTTGTCTTAGGTGGTTTGAGCATATGGATAGAAGAGTTGTAAAAGCAGTGATAAAGAGGGTTGGCCAGGTCTAGGATAGTCTGATGGTAAGCAGTAGAGCTAAACTAAAGAAAACTAGTTGAGATCTGGATTTAAATTGTCTCAATAACATTATTTATATTGTCAACTCCACCTAGTGAAAACCTAAAAAAAAAGGCTTTTGTTGTATTTTTTTTTTGAATCAAAGAAACTGATATATTAATTCAAAATCAGGAAAATACACGGCGATCCCCAGCCATCCAAAAAATGGAAACAACCAAAAAAAGATACAATTACATCATAAGCCTAGCAATATGAGGTCTAAGTCTCTCACTATACCACCCTCTATACACTATCATATCAATAATACTATCACCTATTTTGGTGTTATCTACACTACCAAAACATTTGTCATTACGATACCGCCACAATCCATAAAGATTCTCCGCAGCAGCCAGCTTGAGGATAGTAGCCCTCCAACCTTATCCTTTGCTATGAGCAACAATCCAATTCATTTCGTTTTTCCATTCCATAGGCTCATATGATTCATTTGGATCCACCCCAGAATTTTCCGCCAGATTGCTTCGGTTTCATTACAATCATAGAAGAGATGGTCTTGAGTTGGGAGCAAAACACGCAGTCCCTACTGTCCAACATGCCAAACCAGTTGAGTCTCGCCCTCGTAGGTAATCTACCATGGCAAGCCAACCAAAGCGTAAAAACAGCCCTAGGTCTAGCAGGGTTACCACTAAGAACACGACACCAATGACCTTATTTTCACCAATACTTTTCAACTTCAAATAGACATGTTTGGTGTGGAATTTAGGAGCATGAAGCAGCTGCTGCCATAATGTTTGCAACTGCTGAATGTGCTCTCTTTTGTTGTATTTTGAATATGTTGATAATACTCGTCTGGGAAGTTGCATCCATTTGTTGAAGCAATGATCTTGGGTTCTTCTCATTCATTTCTCTTTATTGCATTCAACACTAAAGCTAATATACTTTATTTCAGTGAGCCATATGTAACCGAAGAGGAACTAAAACTGATGCTGAGGGGTGCAGAATTAAGTGGGGCAATAGAAGAGGAAGAACAGGTAATGTATATCGGGTTTAATTCTAGTAATTTCATTGCATATTTGTTTTCAAAATTTTCAGCCCTTTCTCTCCTTTATAGAAATAAAATTTATTAATACTACCATTCTAAAAGAATTGTCTCTACAATACTTTTTTTTTTTAATAAAATGGGACCTGAAATTTCATGTGAAAAACACTAGTAAAATTTTGTTCGTGTGGAAAAGAGCTTTTTTTTTTTTTAATACTCCTTCCGTCTCAAAATAAAAGTCTTTTAAGGTTGTTGTTACACATAGATTAAAAAAAGTAATGATTAAATGATTAAATGTAACAATTTTACAAAATTGCTCTCAAATACCATTGGTTCTCATAAAAATATAGTACGATGTAATATCTTGAAAGTAGTGTAGATGATATTTATTAGGGGTAAAGTTGGTAAAAAATAATTAGTGTTGCATTGAAAACTTAAAAAGACTCTTATTTTGGGACAAGTTTTTTGGGCTAAAAAGACTTTTATTTTGGGACAGAGGAAGTTATATTTTAGTGTTTTTCTTTACTACACTTACAAAAAGTCCTTTATGATTTCAGAGTGTTTAATCTATTTTCATGTTTCTTTACTGACAAGTGTCCTGAATATATATTATAGGATATGATTGAAAATGTGTTGGAGATAAAAGACACACATGTCAGAGAGGTTATGACACCTCTTGTTGATGTTGTCGCAATCGATGCAAGTTCAAGCCTTGTAGATTTTCATCACTTGTGGGTCACACATCAATACTCAAGGTATTTCATTTCCTAGTTCAAATTCAAAGCGATAGTTTTTCCCAGTGCTAACTGTATCTTGACATGTTTTCAAGGGTACCTGTTTTTGAGCAACGTGTTGATAATATTATGGGTATAGCATATGCGATGGATCTACTCGATTATGTTCAAAAGGTTGGAAGATTTTTACTACTATTATTGGTTACAAGTTATAAGTGCTTTACCTGTTCATGCAATCTAACAGTTTGCAGAATTATAATCTGTTTGATTTTAAAGGGCGAGACTCTAGAAAGTATTACAGTTGGAGATATGGCTCACAAGCCTGCATATTTTGTACCCGGTAACTTAACTTTATCTTAACACATCGAAATTGAATTGTTAAACTGGTTGAATTGTTTGAGCTAGGAACACATTTGTATCTGTTTGAACTTGATGCAGAATACTGAATGAATAAATTATTGTTACTTCCTTTGCAGATTCAATGTCTGTTTGGAATCTTCTTAGAGAATTTCGAATCAGGAAGGTTCACATGGCCGTCGTTCTTAACGAGTATGGTGGAACTGTTGGGGTATGTGCTTACCGTACGTGAATACAACCATCTCAGATCAGTTTGTTTGATATAACATGCATCTTTCAGTTTGTGATTTGCATTACTATGTTATTACCGGTAATAATTTGAAAAAATAAATAAACTAAACGTAATCCCCGGTGTCAGTTTCTGACACCGACATTGACATGGATACATCTTTTATTAGAGGTGCCGGTGCTACCAATGTAATGATAATTTCCCCCATCCTTTTTCCAATGATTTTTTATGGCACATCCTTCCATATGCTTGCTGCACGTGCTAAATCCTTTTTCTTAATAGCTAAATTGAGAAATGTTTACTTCTTCCTGATCCTCTAATAAAGTCTAACAACTTTTGAAATGAGATGATGGTTTTTGAATCGACTGAGTATTTATGCATTACATATCTTGCCATTTAACAGCTTGTAACACTTGAAGACGTCGTTGAAGAAATTGTTGGTGAAATCTTTGATGAAAATGACTCAAAGGTAAATCTCATTATAAATACTTATGTCTAATCTTCACATTTTCAAATTTATTTACAAATTACTGAATCAAGACCATGTATTGCATTTGTCTATATTCTGTTTATCCCCAAAAAGTTGGGTATCCTCTTTACAGTCATTTCTTTTCTCCAACAATATTTCTGTATATTGTATCTGATGGATAAAAAATCAACAAATTTAAACGAAATATATCTTTTTATGTATATGTGCATTTGATTTTTGGCGACTACATCTATTTGCTGCTTTTAAGTTCCAAATTTTCTATAAAGAACCTTTTTACATTCTTTTGCTGCAATTCTACAGGAAGAAATACAGAAAAAAACTGGTTACATAGTAATGCGAGCTGAGGGTGTGTTTGATGTTGATGCTAACACATCCATTGATCAACTCTCTGAAGATTTGACCATCAAGATGCCAGAGGTTCACCACATTTCTATAGACACATTTTTTACTATTGGATTTCTTGAAATCTATTTTAGATTTGTGGGCCTCGTAACACGATAATTACTTCTATTTTTTCAGGGTCACCAATATGAGACAGTATCTGGCTTTGTATGTGAAGCCTTTGGATATATTCCTAGGACAGGAGAGACCATAAAGATAGTTCTTGAAAGAGATGATGAAGATGATGACGATGATTCCAATGGTGACCACCAGGAACCGAAAGAGAAGAAACATATTTTCAAACTCGAGGTAATCACTTTGTTGTTCCTTTTGGTAGTTTAGTATTTATAAGAATTCAAGTCAATTTTTTTGTCTTTTTGCAAAATCTGTGAATAACAAAACTGAATCTAGCACCTCTTCTTCTCTTTCATGCAGATACTAGCAGGAAATGCGAGAAAGGTGAGCGCTGTTCGGTTTGAAAGGCTTAATAATGGCGACGAAATGTTGGAGACGAAAGAAGTAACACGAATGTTCCCAAAAATTGTAAAAAGAAAATGGAATACCGGCGAGGAATCTGAAGATGATGCGGAATATGATGGATATGCATTTCCAAAGAGACGAGAGGAAGACATTTCTAATGAATATGTAGTTGATCAGGAAAATTCTCATAGGAATTAATAAATTATTTTCACTTCAATTTTTATTATTTTTTGTACGTTCTTTCTAATTGGCATGCTTTTGTGCCATTTTTGTATTGTATTAGATGATAAACTTGAGATAACTTGTACAAAATGAGAACCAATGTTCTTTTGAAAAAAAAAAAAAGAACCTATATAGAACCTTTCCATGACAAAGAAAGTTGTATGCCAACACAAGTCTTTCTGAAGGCTTGAAACTCCTAATAAAGATGTTATATTTTCTACATTAGTTTATCTAACATGATACATCTTTACTCCCAAGAAAGAAAAAAAATGGACATTTGGGTGAGAAAGCTATTGAGAAAATTAGGAAGAGCTAGAAGTGAAATATTTTTTTGGTAATACGTTATGAGATTTATGGTGCCTTGTTACACATATAGTTGACTCTATTTGATTGAAGTGACTTGTTCAAACAAGTCCATTTTCATTATGAATGACATTAAGTTTATTTAGGTATTTTTTATTTAAGTACATTTGAATTTGGTTGAGTACGGTATCCTACCGTCATAATCTATTTAGATTATATATATTTTTTAAAATAAGTTTACTTTTTAATTGGAATCAAAAGGATTACATACATATGATATAAAGGGTTTTAAATAATTTTAGTATTTGTAAATATTATTTATTTTGATAAATATATCATTTGAATTTGATTTAATTTATAAACTATATTTTTTGTTCTTTAGTTAGTGTATATTGTTTTAGACTTTAAGGCACAGATACTCCGTTTTTTACAAAGTACCAATATCGAAAATGTACCCGATATCGATATACCTACGTGCCTTGGTACACGATTGATACATATTGACAAAAAAAAATATAGTTTTTTTCATATAGTTTCAAGGCTATTTTAATGAGTTGAATTTAACTTTTTAATTTGTTTAAAAAAGAAGTAAAAAACCATTTATATATAGTCTTGTATTTTCCTGCCGCTGTTAAGCAACTTTAATATCTAAGTATTTAACTTTATGAATTATTGGCACGTTTTAAATGTGATTTTTTAATGTAATTAATCTTAACTTTTTTTTTTGAACAAATTACTTTTTAATTTTGATGTTTTGTTATGATTTTAACAATACAATTCTTTCATATTATTCTTCTATAATATAATTATTTTATGTTATTTTTATAGTTATATTTTTAAAAAATTATAGTGACATACCTTAATTTTTCAAAAAATGTCTTTTTCCCGTACACGGGTATAAATCCGAACCGGTGCAACACATTTTAGAATAATGCTATTTATTATTAAACAATTTAAAAAAGAAATACAAGAATATATTTAAAGATAATGTTTAATTAATTATAAATTTAATTTTGAAATAGTAGTAATAGTTTAATTTTGAAATAGTAGTAATAATAAATAATTTATTCTTGCCTTTCTTGTTTTTATTTTTTCTTACAAATAAGTATTTTCCTTTGTTTAATTCCTGTAAATTTTTTATATTAAATTGTTCTGTAATATTCTTTTTGTTTAAAAAAAACGAAAGATTACAAATTAAAGTATTATATTTTTGCAATGATCAAAAATAAAAATAAAATACTTATACAAGATTAAAAACGAAAATTCCATAAAATGAAGATTTTCACAAATAAAAATAATACAAACTATGGATGGATAATCTTACAGAATAATTATAACAAATAAACAATCACATTTTCTACATATGAATATTAAACAAATATATTGCAAACAAAATTATACAGAGCTATTAATCATCCCTTGCCACAGTAACAAGCCTAGCATGTTTGGTGACTTTCTCTCTCAAACATTCTGTCACCCTTGCTGCATCCACATTTTCTCCTTTAATCACAACTCTATCTTTTTCTTCTCTTTCAAAACTAACCGATGTAACACCTATTATACAAACATAATCCACAAATAATCACTTAATTAACCACTAATAATAAATTAATAATTAACACTAGTTCTTAACATCCAAGTTACAATCAGAACTCACCATCAGCAATGGTGCATATGGTTAATATTTTCTTCTTGCATTTTGCACAGTGAAGTGGTATCTCAATCACAATCTTTTGCTGCACAATTTATAACTCAAGTCAAGCTTTTAAGAGAAAAAGAAGAAAGAAAGAAAGAACGATATTCAACGATGCAATGAAATTTCACTTACCCTCATGATAATCTTCACCAAATTAAAATTAGCTTAATTAAGTTTATAATTAAGAGTCTTGATGAGGAAGAATTAACCATGATACCATGCATATATATGGTCGAGAACACGTGTATGTATGTGTCACTTTGTGGTATGGCTTAATAGTCAAATTGAAATAAACGTATAAATGAGATTAAGTTAATTAAGTAGTAATTGATGCATTAATTCAAAAAGCTAAGTTGGCGATCCACTTTTCATGGATTTAACACGGTTGACAAAATGTATTATATCAAATAAAGAAGCAAAGTCAGCTGGTTAGATATGTTGAAAGTCAATATTGATTAAATGACGTGTATCAAAGGAATATGGTGATGTATATACATCTTTTTATACTATTTCAATGACGTACTTATGAACGGAATATGGACAATCTCTTCGAATATAATTTAATTTTTTATATTATTTTTTAAAAATCAAATTAATATTTATATGTATAGTAAGCGGTTGGTTGACGAAACAAATATTTCACATGAATTATAATAAATTTACAACTATGGTGAAATGTCAAAATATTAGTGTTGACTATCGAATTAATAACCATTCTACTCTTTTATTATGGTGTGTTATAATATTTATTAATATGGTACTTGATCGTCAATTTCGAATGACAATTGACTCTTCAAAATTATTGAATATGTTCTATCTCTTTTATTTAGTGTATATTTTTATTTCTGTTTTTTCTTTTCAAGTACAATTTTGTGATAAATTAAATATGAATTTTTAAAGATCTGTCTCATAAAAATTTTAAGTTTTTTTATTTATTTAAGAGGAATTAAATATAAATTTTTAAGAGTCAATGTTTTATTAGAAACAAAAAAAAAACATTAGGATATATATGATTGAATTTCAAGTTATTATTTTGCCGGGATTTATATCATAACATATACTAATATAAATTATTTTCAAAGTTTCATTGCATTCCGAATAATTATTGAATTATTTTAATTTTTTGATTGAAATACACATGCATATTGATTGAAAAATCAAATTAAATCAAGACTTATTCGAAATGTCATGAAAATTTGCAAATTATTTTATGTGTTATTATGTAATTCCTTGAATAAGATTAACTCAAAATTCAATTATATGTCAATGTTGCGTTGTTTCCATCTATTGGAAAATCAACGCTTAAAAATTCTTATTTAATTCATCTTATGATATGATAAACATGTCTTAAAATTAAAGAATCACAGTGCACTGCACAAAATCCTAATTGACTATGATTTGATCCTTAAAAAATGAAACGACACATGAATCCATCTTGAATTTGAAATGAATCATAACCTTGAATCGAAATGAACCCACCACCGAATCAAAACCAAATCTTTAATTTCATAAGTGAATACTTTAGTTTATCAATATTCAAAGGGCTATTTGTTCAAGAAAAATACAAAAATATGATAAAATTATCGAAACCCTAAAAGACTTTTAAGCTTGAACTGTGGTTACTATCCTTGAAATCATGGAGAGTGGACCTTGTACAAAAATCCTAGCAAAGGAGATTTAGATTGGTTATCTCTATTCTTGCATTGCTTTGTCTTAGGACACACTCTTGCACATCATTCATAGCTTACTCTTGGACTTTCTTACAGTGAGACTTATTCGATCAATTACTTCTAGTTGGTCATCTAAAAGACTAGTCCACTTTGCTAGTACATGTTTAGTTTATCATTTGGGTTGTGCTTATTGTTTATTGCATCCTATATGAGAAAATGTATCCCCACTCCCATGACATGTAATATCTTTTACAACTTTCTCCTTGCTTGCTATTTGTTTAGGCTTCCCTTTAATTCAAGAATAAAATCAACCACGCCTTTTCAAAAGAACACAAATAAGCTTGATCCAACGTCAAGCATTTTCATAATCAATTCAATAGGTTTCCATCACCATCAACCCTTCAACCAATCACACTCCATTTGCATTCACCCTTTGTAAGTCGATTGCCTTATGCATTGCCATCAACCTACCCATTCACCAAGACATTTTAATAAATAATCCAACAAACCCTTGTTCCAACATCAAGCAGATTTTTTTGAATCAAACTAAAAAACACAATAAGATACAATTGGGATTGTGCGACATGAGCCTTAAGTGGTGGAGAAGGGGTGAAAATGGAGTTCCCTGCACTCACTTTGATTATTTTGACACAAGGTGTTTGACTTGGTTGCTTGAAATAATCGCCTCTACCCATAGTCTTTAGTGCGATCCTAATCAAATATAATCTCTTTTCAAAACCTAAAAACAACATCAACTCATCAAACTTCTGTTTTTTGCGCCTTAGAGCCACCCTTCGAAAAATCATTTTTCAAGGTAAAATCAACCAATAAACAATTTTTTTTTAGGTTGAACTACAAAGCTCTGACTTCTTCATTGTACAATGAGGATACATAGGCACGAGTCTAATGCTGAGGCGAGCATCTTAATAAAAAAACATCTTCTTTCCTTTTAGCAGATAAACCATCAGATAAACAACACTCTTTCATGCGCAGACAACCTAGATAGTTTCCGTTGAGTACAACATATGTGAGGGGTGTTAATACCTTCCCCTTGCATAACCGACTTCTGAACCCTAACAATGGTTGCAATGAATTTGTCCTATCCTTTTTTCGATTCTGTGAGTTTTATTGATATTTTCCCTTTCCCTCCTTTTGAGAATAAATAAAGTTCGATGACGACTCTTCTGTCAGTCTAATCGACAAGCTTTTCTCGCGAGGTCGTGTTCTCATTTTTTCTAGGTGCAACACTGGGGCAGATTGTCATTACAGCTAAAGACTTAGTTTTTCTTTCCGTTTTTGTCGTTTTT